ACACAGGGGGCATTTGGCAATAAACTTCCTCTCCTGGCAAGGCTTTTCAAAATACTATACTGCAGATTTTAATTCTCTTTATCTTCAATTTAATTGCATTTTTTATAGTCCATGTGACAATACCAGGTGCTCCTTTTGTTCTTGATTAATTTTACCATGTCCTGACTGGGCCATTGGAATAATTTACAAAAAGCTTTCTGTACCTGTGCGAGTGCCCCGAATGCCATTAATATTGTGTTCACTTCAGTCTTGACCAGAAGGCTGCCGAAGTCTAACACATTTCTGCCATTAGGAATGCTCGGTGGTTTTTCAGACGTTTTCATGAACTCAAAATCAAATTCAGTCGGCTTATTAGACACCTGCTCCATACACAGCAACGAAAATTGATAGCAAGGGAAGCGAGCCATGGAGTCTGCGTTTTCAGAGTGGATAGTCAGTTACGAGGATCAGAAATCATAAATCGAAAGGATTAAGTAAGACTGTGATGTGGTCTACCAGAACCAGCAGTTCCGGTGCTGGGACTGGGAGGGAAGAGCTCCTAGTGACTGAAGGAGTTCTGAGAAGGCTTGGCAAGGAGAACTGTTAGAACTGTTAGTTCGGAGGTCCTAGGTTTTCAGAAGGAGCTGCGGGTTAAGCAGATCCACAGTGAGGATATTCTGAACAGAGGAGGTGCAGAAGAATCAGCAGCAGGGTTGTGTGTGTGAGATGGGGAAAGCAAGGGAATGTAAAACTGGGCAGGCAAACGTTGTTCACAGACTGTTAGGTGCAGGGCGGAGCTGCAAGAAGCAACAGACTCGTTGAGGATTACTGTGCAGAACCCATACGGTGTATGGTGTGTCTCGTTGGGTGGTTGCGCGGCGCGCAGGCAGATTTACAGGCGCACGGGAGCATGGGAGAGGTCCTTTCACGCGGAGGACGTGCACTGTGCTGAGCGCTGAGTCCCCCTGAGAGGCATGGCCCGTGGGTGGAGTTAAGGACTACTGCAGGCATGCAACGATGAGGGTCAACACCCTATTCAGCAAGACGAACCAGGGTAAAGAAACCAAAAAGTCCGTACTTGTCACCCCAAGGAACTAAGATAAAGTCCTGGGGCTGGGGAGATAGCTCAGTAGAATAAGCGCTTGCCTGGAGAGCACAAGGAAATGCTATTGTGGACAAACGGGGCCCCTGGGGAAGCTCACACGCGCTGCTCCAGATGCCAGAGAGCCCGCGGGCAGAGCGGGCGGAGCTGTCCAGCAGGCCTCAGCGCAGCAGCCAGCGGCTTAGCCGAGCGGGGCGGCAGTGCTGGGGCGGACAGGAGCAGAGACCGGCATTGGAGAGGGCAGGTTTTCCTGGCGGGAGAGCTGTAGAGTAGGAAGAGCAGGGGGCAGCGGGGCAGCACAAGCAGCCAGAGCAGGGCTTGTCACCACCTTTTTCCTGGGAAAAGCCGCGTGTCTTGGCCCGCAGAAATGTCCTGTGTCCAGCTTCCAGCCAGTAGGTTGGGAGGAGTAGCCAGAAAAGAATCCCGGTCCTCGTATTCCTGCCTGGGCTCGGAGCAGGGAAAGCACAGTCCAAGAGGGCGCGTTCCATCCTCTCAGCACCCAAACTGGAGCCTTTTCCTACGTCCTTCTCTTAGGGAAGATGGACATGCTGGGACACTTTGCCTTGGCCTCAGCTCTCCCCGACCCTTGGGAGTTTTTATGACCCTGTCTTTTTGAAGGATGATGTTAAAGCCCTTCCACAAGGGGGTGCTCTGTGAGGTCTGTGCTTCTCAGGCAGGAGTGCTTTGGGATGACTCTTCCGTGTTCAGGAGTGTTTTGGAAAAATACTTGAACTAGGTTTTTTGTTTTTTGGGTTTTTTTTGAACCGGGGATTGAACTCAGGACCTTGCACTTGCCAGGGAAGTGCTTATTCTACTGAGCCATCTCCTCGGCCCCTTGAGCTAGTTTTAATTTTCTCTTTTTCTTCATGCCAGCCATGTCTGCAGTCTTATCCCTCTGCTCTTTCTATTCTTATATGCCCTTTGAAATTTATTGTCTTGAACATTTGACTTAACAACTTCCTGTGACTATATTATTTCTCCGAAGGCTAATTGCAGATGCTAGTTAATATTGACCGGCTCCCTCTTGAGACTTGGGTCCATCTTCAGCCTTGTCCTCTCTCCTGGTGACTTTTAAACCTGGATATCAGACTTGGTAGCATGAGAGGAAACCGTAGGCCTATTGTTGCAGCAAGAGTGAAGAAGGGTACCATGGTGACACTGCCCCTATGACACAGTGAGGGTGCTGGAGCACCAAGTTTGGTGTGAGACATCAGCTCTGTCACTTCCGAATGACTTGTCTCAGTTTTTCCAACTGTAAAAATGTTGGCCTTGTAAATTTACTGTGAGATGGGGGACTCAGGTCAATAATTTCTGACATTGCCAGTTAAACAGAAGACCCAATGCTATTATGGGCTACTAGACTCTTTTAGAATATTTTGCTGAGTTTACACACCTATAATATTCAATAACGGAACTTAGAAAAAATGGGGCATACCGATGAATGTCCATTTTGTATCTGTGTATTCAAAGCTGTTGGGATAGATATATAGTTGCATTCTCTTAATGAATAGAATGATTTGTTCTAATGGTGTTTGTAAATAGGATCACAAGTCCGCATCTTGTACAGCAATTAACCACTAAGAAGAATATATGCAGTGTATTATTTGTTGAAACTGTACTTCCGATTTGATTTGAAACTGTCTCATTGCTGTTTATCAATAAAACTTTGAAAATAAATAAATAAATAAATTTACTGTGAGAGATAAATGAGATTAACTCCAGTGCAATTTGACCATAGTGTCTGGCACATATAAAGTGTTCATTAAACATCAAGCATAGCTGTGTGCGTGAAACATGAACTCTATGGATTCATAGTCTGGTGTGACTAGGCTTTTATTTTATTTGTGCACTTATTCCTCATGGTGCAATGAACCAGACAAGTGGCCAGCAGTGAAGGATTCTCTCTGCTTAAGTGCTGAATTCCAGCTAGCATCATGATTCAAGGAAGGAGATATAAAGAGTGAAAAGCATGTCTTTTATATCGTAGCCCATTTTGCAACATGGGGCTCCCTTTGCCTAGCAGACAGGCACTGTGGACATTATCAGAGAGGGAGAGAATGAGTCACTGTGGAATCAGCGTTGGAATTTTTTATTTCACCAGACAATGAACAGCTTCGGCAGAATCAGTTCACTGTTAGAATATAGGTTATGCACCAATAGATATGCCCAGAGAGTCTGGGTCCCAGTATGATGTAGCAGAAAAAGCTCTGCTGTCAGTCGTAAGACACACATTCTGGTCCTTGTGCTGTCCTGTGTCACCTTGAAAAAGGCGTTCACTATGTCTAGCCTCAGTTTTTTCATCACCAGTGTGGGATAATAAATAATCCCTTCTCTGACCACTGCATGGGATTGTTGAGTGGCAACACATGGAAATGCTTCCTGCATTTTAAAAGGTCACATCCGTGGACTCTATTACTTTTTATTCAAAAGCCATTACTTTCTGTAGAGATTTCTGTTACCTTCTCGGTTTCAGACATGACTTGCAGAAAAAGCCAGGTGTATTTGGAAAAAGCTGGTTGGTTCCTGAGCAGACACCGAGACTCAGTCTTAGAAACCCAGAGTGTAAGGAGCAGAAGATAAGCCCACCCCAGTGCAGCACTTTGCAAACCTTAGCAGGCATCAGAATCACCCGGGAGGTGAACCCGGAGCGTCTGGTGCTGTACGTCTGATGAGGGGAGGTTGAGAGCTGGTGTGTCCTGCTCATTCTCAATGGGGTGCTGAGCTGCTGGCCCAGGCAGTACTCTTAGAAAAAACCCCACTATGCTAGGACAAGCAGGAGGAGTGTTCCTTCAGGAGCAGGAGCAGGCAGTGTGAAGATCCGTGTGGGTAAGGAAGTTTGTGAGAAAAATTGGAAGGAAAGGGGACCGAGAAATAAGGATGATGTTCAGATGAGGCAGAACAAAGGGAAAAGTCTCTGTCACAAACGCAAGATGGGGGAAGTTGCTAGGTGATGGGTGAGGGAGAGAGGTGAGTTTCTACTGCAGGAGAAACCAGGTGAGAGGCAGGAGCACAGGGTTGGAAATATGCACATTTAGGGAGGCGGAGGTGGAAATTTCTCATTAAGAAGTGGGGAGCAGTGTGGTTGGCACTGGTGGGGGTAGGTTTGGAAATGGCTTGGGGAGAGATGGCTCTGTAGAGTTAGGGGACAGCTGAGATGAGGTGGAGAGGGGTAATTTCAGGGCTGTGTGGATTGGCTTGGTAGTTTCAGCGCAATTGCGATAGAAATTGGGAGAAAGGGGGTGGAATGTAGATGTGTGACCTGCCCCGCAGCTTTTCTGCTCTGTGCATTTATCACATCACATCACACCCAGCAAGACAGCCCCCTCCCCTCCTGGCTCATTAGGAGATTTGATTCAGCTTGGCTCTTGCCGTCAGCAGCTGTCTGGGGCAAGATCTTTATGCTCCCTGTGCAGCAAGGAGCCCTCAGCCAGCAGCAGAGCTCATTAGGAGGGGCCCCTGGACACTTGCTTTTCAGCTCATTGGTGGCCTGAAAGAGTTAATACCGACTCTTCGCTGGGTGCAGAGAGAGGCAGCCGTGGGCTGTGGGAACTTGTCTCTGAGCTGCAGCCAGAAAAGCTTCAGGTTAGCGAGGCTGAGGAGGAAGGTGCAGGCAGCGTGCCAGGTCAGTCTGCTCAGGGGCACCTCCTGCATCCTGCCAATGAGGACGGGCATGCTGACTGTGCCCAGGAGCTGAGCTGCTGCCCGCCGGGTTTAGGCTGCTTCAGTATTTACTGGATGTGACAAGCAGAGAGAAGAGCTTTCTGTGGGGCTGCTTGCTGCCTGGCTCAAGTGGTGGGAGGTGTGTTGTGCATGCTTGCTTGTGTATATGTGTGTGCACACGAGCCTGTGTGTCTGTGCAAACGTGCCCTCCACCTGCCAAGGATTCCATTGCTAAAAGAAAGATCTACTTTTTCCTCAGAGCTCCTAAACCCACGGCCTCTCTGAGCATCCAGTTGGCAAAGAAGGGCAGGCCATGAAGACTGGTCAGCTACAGTAAGTACCATTTTTGCTGTTCTCTTTCCTCTCTGGGGTGCCCTGGTGTGCTGAATGCATTATCCATATTTAATTAACCTGCCTCTTCATGCATATTGATTGCTTTCTCCCTGCTGGGGCTCTTAGTTTCTCTCTCCCTCTTAATCTTTGCTTTTTAACCTTTATTTCTCTGAGTTTCCTCTTTTCTCCTTAGGTCCCATCCGGTCTGCTCCAGTCCCCTGTGACTTGGGGCCCACTTATGAGGGTGCATGCACTAGGGGGGCAATCATGCCTTTGAATGGCCTGGGCTCTGGGTAATCTCTTACTCTGACCACGGTTAGTCCTGAGCCAAGTGGGATAAGCGTGCGGATGTGTCAGAATGGACCAGGCAACTGGAGCAGAGTACCCTGCTGGTTCTCATTTAGAGGAGCCCAAAGCTGGGCTCATCAAAGGGGTGGGTTGGGGGGGAGAAGACAGAATGAACTTGAGAGAGAGACAGACAGACAGAGACAGAGAGAGAGAGAGGAGGCTACTGAATCACCTGGGCAAGCCCGTGTGGGCTGGCAGCAGAAATGGGAGGGGGAAAGAGGCCCTGCCCTAAATGACCCTGCCCTGACTGACCTTGCTGTGGTCTGTGTGGGGAGCAATACCTGCATCTGCTCAGGTGCAGGAGGGTGAGTCTCCTCCGCTGGCGTATATCCTAAAAGCAAGAGGCATAGATGATTTCTGATTTCTAGCATCCCTTATAGCTGTAAAGGGCTTTGATTTCCCAACTTCTGGGCAAGCAGGTATAAGCCCAGTTAGGATAGTGACTGAAGAAACGTCTCTGCTGTCAGTGAACGTAGTCCATGGGGATGAGACTCCACATAGAACCTCATTTTTTTCTTTTTTTAGTTTTCATAAAATGTTTTTGTTAATTATAGTACCATTAGCAAAGCGATTTAAAAAAAATTTGTGAAATGTACAGGCTAATACCAAAACATTATTATTAGTATAGCTCACATACGTGACTTATCTACCTAAATTAGGTTTTCTTGCAAATGGATTTTATGTTTGGTGTCAGCGTCCCCACAGGGGAATCCTTTATGCATAGGCTGCTCCACTCCTGTGTTTCTTCCTATCAGTTCTCTTCTGTGGGAACAAAGGGCCTGAAGCATAGAGACCCTCAGGAGGGAGAGAGAGCACATTAGTCAATCAACTTCAATATCCCGCTTCCCCTACCCCATGTCCTCCCTGCTTCGGGTCAGGCATGGGCCAGTCCCCAGGCTGAGGAAGGTCACACCGCCTCCACATGGGTGAGAAAGGGTGACTTGCATCTTCTTTTCCTCAGTCTGTGCCTGGGATTGCTTTTCCAAAGAGTGAGCCCATGTGGAGAGGGGGCCAGCAAGCTCCCCTTCCGAGTCACTCCCACCTCCCTCTGGCTCCCACCCTCCCAAGTCTCCACACCCACCCACCTACCTGGAGCAGACACTCTTGGAAGGAGGTGAGAACCACAGCAGGAGTCAATCAAGTTATTTTGGAGCAATTCTGGCTCCTCACCCTCCCCTCCTGCCTGGTCACTTGGGTCCCACTGGAGCAAGATGAAGACAACAGTAATTTTTGGTTTGCCAGGCCCGTGCCTCCCTGGAGGGCCATGTCCCAATTTCTGTTGACGACCAGTGGCTGGGGAAGTAGGAACTCCTGGCCAGCAGTCTGCAGTGAGAAGCCACCTATTTGTTCTTCTCCATCCTTGGTTGGTTGCCCTTGCTGAGGAGCACCAGGGGCTTGTGGGGGTTGGGGTGTTTGTGTGTGTTGAGGGGAAGAGTTCCATTGGTAGAGAACCAGTTGGTGGCCCCTCTTACAGAAGATTCTTTGATTTTAGGTGAGAGGACGTGAAAGGGTAAATCCCTGAGCCCCACAGTCTTATTTCCTGCTCTGACGTCTCTGCAAACCAGCCTGAGAGTTAACCATAGCCGGATGCCTGTATGGCTGCCTTACTGATGCCACGCAGGTAATGGACGCATGACCGCTTTCCTTATCCCTACCTCTCTCTTCTTCTTGACACCTACCCCTGCCATTTGAGCCTGACCCAAGCTTTTAGGCCGCTGGGTGGTCCACTTGCACCTCTTCCTAGGCCCCTTGTGTGAATTGCTATGTGCTTCTTGCAAAGTCGTGGCTTGCAAGCCGGGCCTGAGCTCTGAGCACTGCTGACTAGCAGGACCTCTTGGCAGTGACTTCCGGGTGGGATGAAGGGCGGTGCATGAGCTTGTGCGGAATCACTCAATACCCCTTCAAGCTTCTGGGTCAGGGGTGGTAGAGAGAAGATAGAAGAAGAAAAGCCCATATGATACCTAAACTTCTGATTCGCTTCTGTTCCCATTAGTTTAGATCTAGCTAAGAGGAGTATAACTTAGGTCTTATCTGGAAAGATGGAAGATCAAAGCAATGTTGTCCCAGAGTGTATTTTGTTGAACTCTCTTATAAACCAGGAGAATTGCACTGTCTGGTAACAAGCAGGCCTTTACACTGGCCCCTGCTAGACCTTGTTAAGAGCAATGTGTGTGTTTGCTGCTTTTTGAGAGTCCTCTTAGTTGTTCCTCTGGGGCAGTGATCTGGCTGTGTGTTGATTCACTGAGGAATTAATGGGCTCCCTGGATGAGGGTTCTGGTCTCATGAGACCTCAACAGGACCATCATGGAATGTGATGTGATGGCTCAAGGGTGAGTTGATTATGTGGTCTGGTGTTGGGCACCTGTGATTTGGAAGAGTCACTGGACACATACATGTTCCTGGTGTCAGCAGAAAGAATAGCAAGAGCCAGTGTATTGGAATGCCATGAAATAGGTGGCTTCATAGAGCAGCCTGGCTGGCAAGGGAGGTTCAGGCCAATTTTCTGCAGGAGAAAAGTTATTTCTGGAAACTTGGATATTCTAGCCTTAAAAGGCTCTTCAGAGATGTGCTGCAGAATACAAATGTCGCCCATTCCTGCCAAATATAATGCCATCCCAGTAGGCACTTGTTGGATAAGGTTTCTGGTAGCAAAGACAATTACCAAGATCAAAGATAGAAATCCATGGAAGCGCAAGAGCGTAATTGGATTGGACGAGCTCCAAGGTCTCTTCCCATTCCTAGGATTTGTGAGGAAGAAGAGAAGTATTCAGCTTTGAAGGATTTGCTTTCAGTGTGGAGAAAGGTACTTGCTAGGACCATTTCCCTGGCAAACTGCTACCAGTGTCCACATGGCAGTTTCCTTTTATAAGCCAGTCTAAAGTCCTGATCTGATTGCAGGAAATTCTTCTCACTTACCTTTGCCTTCAACATGAGAATCACCACGGTTAAAGGTCAGGGGTCAGCAGCCTATTCTGTCAAGGGCCAGAGAGTAAATATTTTCAGCTCTGTGGGTTCTGTGGTGTGTGTTGTAACCACTTAACTTTGCCCTGGTAGTTGCAAGCAGCTTTGGACAATATATGAACAAGTTGTGTTGTGTTCCAGTAAAACTCCATGTACACAGACAACTTGTAGGGATGTAGCTTGCCAATCCTTGGTTAAAGGTAAACAGAGGCTACTGTTGGAAGTTGGAAAGAAATGTTAGTGTGATTTTTCAATGAATCTGTCATTGTGAGGGTCGTTTGAAAAATAAAAGTGTATGAGAAATTTAAACATATATGTTAACATTTTAAATATGCTTATGGAGATAAGCCAACATGTAAATAGGAACAGAAGAGCTTAGTTAAACAAGTAGAAAAAGTGACAAAGGGGATATTGGTTTTTAATTACAGATTGTATCAATGATTGGCCTTCTCACCTGCAGGAATCACCCTTGCTGGATTGAGCTCTCATGTCTGTGCCCAGTCAGGGGTTGGGAAGATGGGGGAGAACCTTTGTGGGGCGTCAGCCTGCCCCAAAGCCCAGCACTCGTTTATGCTCTGACTCTTCTCTGTACCCTGCATTCGGCAGACCTCCCGCTATGTTTAGTGCAAGCATGACTTCTGGGTTTTGCAATGAGGAGAAGCTGCTACTTTGCCCTCCTTGCAGGAAAGCAAAATATAGACTGTTATTTCGTCACCACTGTGTTCCCTTTCCCTACAGAGAATCCTGATTTAGAAATTCTTCCAAGCTAATGATCTTCACTGACATATCAGCCTCTTTCCATGTCAGCATTAAAAATTGTTCATTCTCTAGGGATAGGGCAGGGGACCTACTGCTGTGCCAGGAGTCAAGATAAGGAGTGAGTCCATCCTTTGCTCTTGGGGTGTTCCCTGTCTGTTGGTGAACATCTCAGGGGCCACCTGGGGTGGAGGGAGAGGAGGAGGAGGCTCTTTGACTCTTGCAGCAGCAGCTCCAGGGCCTTTTATGGAGCTGACAGCTATGATCATGACAGTCCTGCCCTCCTGCCCCCTGCTTGTTTCAGGAACAAAGGGATGAGGACTCGACTGGGATGCCTGTCTCACAAGTCAGACTCATGCAGTGATTTCACAGCTATCCTTCCTGACAAACCCAACCGTGCTCTCAAGTGAGTAGATGGACACATCGTGGGGTGCCCACTGAGAGGTGCCCACCATTGAGTTGTACAACATTTTCTTCTCTAGTGAGCTGCTGACCAGCTCTCCATGGACAATACATTACTGTCTCTCAGAAGTTCCTTTGATATCCCCAGTGTGAGTGGAAGGAAGGTATGGCTTCGTGATGTCTGAATGGGAGCCTTCCTCCTCCTCGGAGGCCATGTCTTTCATCACTTAGATGCCGTGGGTGTCTAAGGTTACTTCTTGGTTCTACTTAATTATCAATCTGAGCTCTCAGTTTGGAAATAAACACTGAAAGTTACTCTAAAAATATGCTTAGGATCAGATAATATGGGTTGAGTGCCTATTCTGTGCAGGAACTATGTGAAATCATGTTACAGACATCATCTCGTTTCACCTTCACCCAGCTCTGTAAGATGGGCATCATTATTCTCTTCAGAAGCCAAGAAATCAAGGTGCCAGTGAGAGATGGAGTCATGGGCCGAGTCTAGCTTTACTGTCTTCAAGGCCAGTTTCTTTCCAGTGTTACCTCAACATCTTCAAATCATACTGTGGCTTAGCTTTTGTTTAGACTGAAAGCCAGTAATACATGAATTCCCACCCTCAGGTTTCCCAACAGTTACTTAAGGATGTACAAATTTCCAGCAACGGAATTGCAGGAATTCAGGTGCAGTCTGCATTTGTCCCCCATTGCTCCAATTTGACCCCCTGAGCAAATCCTTGTGGTGGTTGAGTAGGAGGAGGTTATCTTAAGAGAGATATTTCTTCTTTCCTAGGAGATTATCCACTGAGGAAGCTACGAGGTGGGCAGATTCCTTTGATGTGCTTCTCTCCCATAAGTGTAAGTAGACCTCCATCTCACTGTGTTGTAACAAATCGCCCGAATGCCTTTCAGGCTCCATGTCCTGGGCTGGGGGTTCTAGATGTTTCAAGTCCTGCCTTCCCAGGGCCTCCTGACCAGAGGAGCAGAACAATAAGAAAATGAGTAATTCAGTGCTTTGGCTGGGGCTCTTCTTTTCTATTTTCTCGCTCAAGATTGAGTCCCAAGAAGCTTTCATCTTCTCCGCAATTTTAGTCCTAGAGGGATTAGCACAGGCATTTGTTGTGTGGGCTTGATGAGATGAAAGAATCTAGGTTCTTTCCCAGATCTTGTTTATAAAATGAAATGACCCCTCCCTTTCTATGGAGGACTTTGGGGCTGAATCTTTACTCCAAGGAATATTCTGTGCATTGCATTTCCTCTGGAGTTGACAGAATTTTGAGTTGTATCTTTTGATTTTGAGGGTTTACTAACTGCATTGTATCCAATTTCTGACTAGAACACAACTTCTAATTTCGCCCATCTTCCATTTTTTCCTGTCTCAGTTATTACATCTTTTGTTTCCTACAAAGGCAGAAAGAGTGGTAGGTATTTCAGTGAGGAGGATAATTTGTCATTATCAAACTTTTTCTCTTCATGAGCAAGTCTAGATTTGTTGCCCTTTGAAATCCCAGTGGCATTCAGTACATGGAAGAGGCAGAGCAGAGGTGGGAGGAGAGAGAGGGTGTTGTGAAGAGACAGGAAGGTTTCAGACAGACATTCTATGTCCCTCTTAAATGTCATGCCAGGGTTGAAAATTCAAAGTGATCTGGAAGCAGAAAACATTGAGCTAGTGTGTGGTTTCCATTTAGTTGGGGAACATAGTTTGAGGCACTAAGGCAGTGGGTGGAAGTCAGGCCTGTGCTCTCAGATTTGACCCATGTTTGTCACTAGGTAGATGAGTAGTCTTGAAGGAGTCCCTCTGTTTTTAAAGAAGGTATTAGAAGTGAGTTTGCTTTCAACTTTTTCAATGGTTCCCTCTGACTCTGTCCTGATCCCTAATAAACTAAATAACAAGTGCTTTTGAATAGATTTTAAACTCAAAATCAAAATCAAAGAATCAGCACATATTGTAACAGGTAACTTTGTGAGGTAAATAGTCATTTAAGTGTTTCATGGGTTGTTTGTGGGAAAGAAAAGAAAGCAGCATAGACAATGGCATATGCGCAGTTAATTGGAAAGATTCTCACCCTGACTAACTATATATACTGATACCTGTGAACTAAGCAACTGCACTGAAGATGGAAATCTGTAATAGTAGTTTCATGCTTGGGGGACCTGTCATTCTGGTTTTCTGAATATGGGCTGCTTGTCATGACATGCCAGTTGCTGCTGTGCTGTCTCTCAGGTAGATGATTGTTCAAAAAGAAGAGAGTGGTGAATGAAGGCAAGAGATAGGAAAAGGAATACCGTGGGACTGTCCTGCTTCAAGGTTGTATATGCTTAGATTTTTGGACTTATGTGTAAACATAAGAAGTATATAATTCTTTAAGCCTATTTTTAAAAATATATTCTAATTTTTAAATGTTTTTTCATCATATTCTGTAGGGACTTAAAGTTCAACATATCAATACTTGA